GCCAAAGGAGAGTCGGGTGAGTGAGGGACCGACAAGAGCAGGCAGCAGCAACCTGGGTAGACGCAGCCACCTGAGGGAGCGCTCCAGCCGGGGGGGTCACAGTGTCCAGAGTGAACAGGCCGGACACCGGGTCCCGGGGGAACGTGGACAGGGGGGCACCAGTGGCGGCCTCGGTACAGACAGCATACCGCTCGTGACCAGGGAACGTAGTGGTGACGCCAAGGTCCTGGAGGCAGCCGACACCAACTAGGTTCTTGGAGAACGAAGGGATATGCAGACCTGTAAGAGTGCCCGAAGGAACCGCCGGACAGGGAAGGGTGCTGGAACTGCGGGCGACTACCGGACCGCCGGAGGGGTCAGCAAGAGAAACGGCAGCAGGAACAGGAAGCGGCGTCAGTGTGGTGAAGTCGCGGAAGAAACACCGGGAAGCGCCAGAGTCCAAGGTGAAGGAAAGCGAAGCAGAGGCGTCAGGCGACGGAATGACGGCGAAAGCACCAAGACTACACAAAGCAGGGGATCCTACGCCTAACGCAGCAGGGGAGGCTAAGCTAGGCACACCTACACTAGCCGACAGTGAGTAATAAGCGGGAAGCACACTGGAGTCATCAGCATACATCACATGCAGAGCAGAAACAATGGCATCCATGTCCATGTCAAAAATCTGAATCTTACGACTAAGCAAACTGTGCCAGTCCGGGAGGTCTGGCGACGGGCCGAAGCGCTGACGAAACAGGTCATCCAGGCGACGAAAACAGCGGGGAGTGGAGTGACCGATCTTACCGCAAACGAAGCCGCGGCGAGGACCGGTCTGGATCTGGTACTGACAACACACGCCTCCAGAACCACCACTCGGCACACCACCACGCGCCCGACCACCGCCAGCGCCGGGCCACCCGGGCGGGAGGACACTCGTCTGCCGCGTCTGCGGCGGCTGCTGCGAAGGCTGCGGCTGCTGCTGCTGCTGCGACTGCAGGGGCGGCGGCTCAGCTGGACTGGGCAGGGTCCCCTCGTCCGCTCCAGCACCAGACGACCCGACTCCACCACCACCCCCTCCCGCACCCCCGCCTCCTCCGCCGCGCCGAACCTTGGGGCGGCGGCCCTTCCCCGAACGAAACTGCGCTGCAGCAGCAGTCTCAGCCACTGCGGCAGAGCCGTCGGAGAAAGTACACTGAGCGGGGGCACAACCCTGAAAGATAGGGACCGGCACGGTACCGCTCGCCTGGGCGATGGAGCGGTGGCGGGTCTCAATCACAGTCAGGGTGTCTACAAAGTCAGTGAGGGTGAGGTCTGCGGAGTGAATGCTAAGGAAGCGGTCGCGGGCGACAGCAAAGCGGTCAGGGAGGCGGGTGGCAAGCAGGTAAAGGGTAGAGGTAATGGGCGGCTGGTGGGCGCTAAGCTGTGCGTCAGTGCAGGCAGCGCGCCAGGTCTCATCTATCGAGCGCAGGTGGGCAGCGAGGTCAGAGACAGTGGGGAAAGACGCAAGGTCAGGAAAGAGCATTGGGAGGATCAGGCAACCCACCGAGGCAGCCGGAGGGGTGGAATAGCGCTTGATGACAGCATCTAAGTAGGCCTGGGCAGTAGTGAGGGACCTAAAGCGGGGGCGCTCGGACGGGGGAAGGGCATTGCTAATGGCAAGCTGAGCGACAGCATCTCGAGAAAGCCAGACAGAGCGCGCACGGGCAGTGGCGGCAGTAGACACGCGCTCAGTGGGTGCGGAGTCAGCGGGCAGAACAGCAGGGGGGTCTGGGCAGGGGAGCGTACCGTCAAGGTGTGCGGAAAGCGGTTCACCATCCTGTCGTTGGCCAGTGAGTTGACGTCGGAGGTCGGCAAGCCACGCCTCGAACTCCAGAGGCTGGCCTTCCGCGTCGAAGCGAAGCTCCGCCGCCATCAGGGGCAGTGCAGGACTGTACAGTTCGGTGTAGTGCAGTGCAGAGCAGGTACCCCCGTCAACCTGACACTTTTGTATGCGCGCTGGCCTGGGCAGGAATCCGTACCCCCTTTTCATCCATTCTGTCTTTTTATTTCGGTCATATTCTAATCCTCGTGTCAAGAACATTCAAGGCATTTTCCATATTTTATAACCAATGGCGTAAATATTCAGGCTTTCCGCGTGACATCAACAGGTCCGTCCCGAATACGAAAACACGACCCATGGTCCCTCAATCACCATTAATCAATGCACATTTCGTTTTTTTTCCTTAAATGGTTTTTTTGACCTTCGTGAAAGTGTGTGATTGGTTTACGAAACCGCTCAGGCGAGTCGTCATAATTTCGTTACGTTAAGCCCTTTTCGTGAGACCACAAAAAGGGATTTTCAAATTATATGATTTGTGCGTTTTGAGCCTGCGCTGCTTGCGGAAGGTCGAGAACGAGGTGTTACTTCTATTGTCCACGGTAATTTTGACCAGAGGACAAATTTGCTGTATGTTATTTAAGAAGCCACATGAGCCCTCACATGACACGCGGCGAAGTCGCTGGTAACCTGGCCCAAGGGCCAATACGCCAAGGCACTCATCGTGAACAGAAAGAGTAAAACGGCATACGCCACCCCACCTAAAACCGTAAGTGCTACTCGATAATCCATTTTGCCCTTAGTGAACCGCTCTTATTCGTCGTAGTCCATATTTGCGAGTCGCGGATTTGGAGCATAGAGCATACCCGCTGTATGTGATAATGCATTGTTCATCACGAAGTTATGGCCGTATGTTATCAAGTACAAGATCCGTATTGATGTCGGGCTGGCTCGTTTTTTTGTGACTGTGCCAGAGCTGACACAATGCAGTGCAAGCTGCAATCAAATCCTGCTTGCTCTGCGACAGCTGTCTTTCACTACAGTACACAGCAACGACGACGACGACGTGGACGTGACGAAGAGAGAAGACAAGCTCGGCTCGGCTCGGCCTGCAGCATCCGACTACAGAACAGTACTGGACGACATGAACCGTCATCTTCACGCGCGTCGTTTCCAGGGCTAATGTTTTACGGGTAGCTCCCCGGATTTTGACAAAATGACGGGTGATTTTCTGACCGAAATCGGATCGCGACGTGCTCGATTTTCATGAAACCGGATTCTCATGGGTATATTTCGATCAGAACCCGTTAAGTGCCCTTTTAGGTTTTGGCAACACGGATACTAGAACTTCTCGCACCACCCCACCCGCCGACCCCCTCTCCAGTCCCTCTCCCCAGGGAAAATCAGCCCAGCAACAAAGTTCCAAAGATAGAACTATAAGAGCGGAGAGGATTACTCTTACGTGGTTCCCTTTGTAGAAACCATGAACTTTTCGTTAGAGCGTTTGTCATTACAGAAAAATCCCGGGACTGGAGTGCCATTTTTTTCTCAGCCGGATTTCGACGAGTAGCGTTTCCCATACACCCGTTTAATCCGGGTCCCATGATCTGCCGTGTGGACGAATACCCTAAGGTAAGTCCTGGTCGTGTCGAATCGAATTGACTTCCTCCACCCCCATCCGTTCGTTCGTTCCTCTCCTCCAGGGCTTACTTCTGGTTTTTAGTCACCCTTAAAAAATCGGGCTCCTTGAAAGTTTACCCTTAATGTTCAGGGTCCAGCGGAAGGCATCCCTTGATCATCAGGGTTCGTTCGCACAGTACCCTTTTTACTGCCACGGTTAGAATCTACCAGGAGATGTATGGACAAGATGAAAAGGAAGTGAGTAACGTGCACGGGGCTGTGAGGGGAGAATGACGAAAATCCACTAAGTGAGTTGTCTCCCCTCTATTTGTGACAACGAGGTGTGAGTAACGTGCTGTGAGGGGAGAAGAACGAAAATATAAGGGAGTTGTCTCCCCTCTGTTAGTGACTACGGGGTGTGAGTAACGTGCTGTGAGGGGAGAAGAACGAAAATATACCAAGGGAGTTGTCTCCCCTCTGTTGGTGACTACAAGGTGTAAGTAACGTGCTGTGAGGGGAGAAGGTCGAAAACCTTTGAGTTATCTCCCCTCAGTCAGTTGGTGGGAGTACGTGCTGTGAGGGGAGAACAACGAAAATCTTCTAAGGGAGTTGTTCCTCTTAAGGAGATCCCCCCTGTAGCCCTAGTAGGACACTCAGGGTAGGAAACAAAAGTACTCTTTATCTCAAGGGTTACACTCTGCATAAACCCTTTAGACCCCGGGTTCATAAAAATCCAACCCTTGATTGGTTTCCTACCAGCACTAGTAGGACACTCAGGGTAGGAAAAAAATGTACCCTTAATCTCAAGGGTTACACTCTGCATAAACCATTTAGACCCCGGGTTCATAAAAATCCAACCCTTAATTTGTGGGGCCAGCTGAAAAACTACTTTTTATTTGACTCAAATTCAGGGCAACAGCCCTTGAAAAATAGGCCCTGCTCTCCTCCCCTCCTCCTTCCAGACATCGAATCGGATGGATGAGACGTGAAGAATCTCAGATTCGGCAGTCAGACTTTCTGGATCAGATTTGAACGAGTGCTGGCTTCAACATTCACTCTGCAGAAAGTATCAAAACCGGGTTACAGTACAGTACAGTTTCAAACACAAGCACAATCAGTTACACAACACTTGACCATGCGACAGCTCCGAGTGGCGGTTCACGTTGCGAACTTCGCTGGGTAACCCAGCTGTACCGCATCCGTGCGACCTGCACTTGAGGGTGCCTTGAATCTACAGTGCCTGAACGCGATGTGTTTCGTAGTTCTTGCAGCTGTCCTTGTTGCAACATTTCCCCCTTCTACAGCATCCGATCTTCTCCCTGCCAGTTTCTCCACGCTCTCATCTCACCCTTCCCACCCAGCCCAGGCCTACATGCCACCCGCACTCAACCAGCGTTTTGGAGTTACGTTGCTCCTGGCCTCGCTCACCCCTGTCATTTTCCTGTGCCAACTCTTTTTGCCGCGGTTTCTCCCCCCCCCCCCCCCCCCCCCCGCGTGAACCAGTCCTTATTTCTTGAGCTTGGATCCACCACACGAATCCCACACACCAACAACCACGAGAGCTCGCCCAAGTGGCCCATCACTTCCGCCACGTCCCTCACTCTCCCAGTCATTTCAACGTCCCGTTTCTGTTTTTTTTTTTCAGCTCCTCTCGAATTTCCCTTCATTCCTCGCAGTCCCTCCAATGTCGCAACCACGCGAACAACACAACCAGCAGCAGCAACGCCAGCATTTTTCGCTCGACGAAGCTGCGAATCTGCTGCTAGACACAGAGCACCTCGATTGCTCCCCCGCCGCGCTGCTGGACGAGAGTTTCGCTTTATTCGCGCAGACCTCCGACAATAACAACGCTGCACCCTCTGCTAATGCGCAGAACCTTTCCGTAAACGACGCTTCGTCCCGCGTCGCGATTGCTGGAGCGGCGGAGGCACCCGACGGCAATTCGTCGCTCGTTAGAGCCACTGCACCCGCCGCTCACGAGGAGCCGTTGGAAAATAATTTCGGAAGCTTTATGGTGCCCAGCGATCGCGACGCGGTTCGGCATTTTCCCGCCGCGCTCGGCGGCAGCCGCGGCCGCCCCCGCGACGGCGTCGATGGCGCGGCTGCAGGCGCCGCATTCGCTGCTCCGCGTGCGCGGTGGGATCAACCGCAGCACGGCGCGTCGGCGGCACCCGCAGAAGCGGCATCCGCGACGGATGTGGAGCAATGGCTGCTGCAGCGCGCGCTGGAAGAGGTTAGCGCCGTGAATGGCGGCGGTGCGGACGCCACCGCGGCGATGGCGGACAGCTTGCCGCATATTCCGCTCGATCTGCTGCAGCAGTCGGCGGACGCGGCGCTTTTCGCGCAGCTCCAGATGCTCTCGTCGTCCAGCGACTCGCCGTTCGACACGGCTGTAGTAAATCAAGTTGATTTCCACGACGCGCCGCTGTTTACCAGACCCGCCGCAGCAGTAACCGCGCCTAGTCATTTCTCCTCGCGGAATCGTCCAATGGCGGGCCCCCCAGTCCGAACCGCGGGCCGACCCTCCGCGCCGCCGGCGGACGTGCAATCTCCGCGTTTTTCGGCTTCTGGAAGCGTCGAGCACACGACCCACCGCTTGTGCCACGCCGCTCACGATGGCGTGTCGAACCGGAGTCGCAACTACCCGGGTTCGAGCCTACCCCGGCCAGGGGACGTGAATATGACAACAGAGTCCGAGCGAACCGCGCCCCCCACGTATCAATTTAGCGGATCCTTTCCCCCGGCCGCACCGGCCGCGATTTCCCCGCGCGCCCCGCCTCACGGAATCGCGCCGAGCGCCGCCGCGGCGGCGTCGCCGTTCCTCCCCGCGGTCAGTGGCAGCGCGCCAGCAGCGCCCTCCTCCCTCCCGCTCCAGTGCTCCAGCAGCAAGCTGGCTCTGGAAATGCTGCAGAAGCTGAAGCAGGGAGGAGGAGTACTGGGGGCTCCGATGCTCTCTGCCCCTGATGGGGCTCCTATGCTGACAAGTGGCGCATTTGCCCCTTGGGACGCGCCGAGAGACGTTAAAGCCGGAGTCAGAGTCACTGGGACTCATGCTGCTAGCTCTGCTGCACCTGACGCGCAGGAGGCTGCGGCTGCTTCTGCCGCTGCAACTCCTGCAACTGCATTCGCTGCGAATGCTGCGGCTGCATTGGCTGCTGCGGCTTCTGGGGCTGCAGGCATCAGTGCGGGGGCTCACAGGGACCGCGACTTGATGTGCATGGGTGGTGCAGACGCCTCCGGTGCACTGCTGATCGGAAGCCGGCCCGGCAGGTCAGGCGCCCGGGCAGCAAGCACTGGTGCGGGAGAACTGGCAGGTGAAGGGAAAGGCAGTGCAGGCGGAAGCACGCAGTGCATGGATACAGCTCGTACTGGAGCATCAGGAGCTGAGGAAGGAGCTGCTGCTGCTGCTGCTGCTGGTGCTGCTGCTGTAACAGTTACACCAGTGACATCAGGAGGGCAAGGCGGTGCAGGAGGGCCAGCCACGTCAGCGGCGGCGTCAGGCGGCGGGGCTGGCGTGTCGAATGGGTTATCGGCAGAGGACGACTGGCGGCCGCGCAGCCGAACGCGGTTCGATGCGGAGGCAATGAAGAGGGGAGAGATTAAGCCACGGAGCATGAAAGAAAGGCGGCGAAGAGATAAGATTAGGTGCGTATGGTGGTGTGTGGGGAGGGTACAAATGGGGAAAGGATAGGGGTGATGGGGGATGGGGCTGGGTTAGCAATGACGGCTATGCCTAGCATGTTGACCGTAGCATTTCGTTCTCATGTGCCATGTCTCTTTTTTCCCCCTTTCCTATTTCAGCGAGGGGTTGAGGCAGCTAAGGCAGGCAATCCCCGAATCTCTGCTAGGTCCGCAGCAAGACATGGGTGCCATGATTGAAGCAGCAGTCCTTCACATAAGCAATTTACAGGCAAGTTTTACTTCACATGTTACATGACGGTTCCTTGGAGGCAGCAATTCTGACCCAAAACACCTGTTGTGTCTTATGCAGGCCCGAGTTAGCAAGCTTGAAAGGGGTGCAGCAATTGAGAAACTTGTAGGCGAATTGCAGCCATAATACAGGTTGGCTGTGTTGAAGTATATTCGAGATAGTTATCACTTAAGTTGCTTAGTTTTTATGATTTGTGCCAACTTCGATTAGAGGTTAAGTTTCAAATGTTTAAGTGGTGTGTACTTATATCAATAGTACCTAACGCTAACTGGTTGTATTTTTCCCCTGGACCGCGAGATTCCGTCACACAGTAAACTTATCCATAAGAGACAAGTTACTCGGGCTACCAGTGCAATGTGCGCCTTTCCTTCCTCTCCATGCGCCGTTGCATTTCCCCCATCAGCTTGAGATCACGTTCTGAAGTTTGCCCGTCCCCATCTGACTCGGTTTTGGGCTGTTTGTGGGCAAACTTCGTGGGCAAACTTCGTAGGAGATTGGTTTGCCCACCGACCCCAACCCCCCATGCGATTGTTTGTGCGAGCCTCGTACTACACTTCACGAGCCCTGGAGACGAAATGCGAAATGGGTTCAGTCTTACCCAATTGCAAAGTGCGTTCAAGGACTGCACGACGCAGTCAGCGACATGGTACGAAACATTTCACCTGACGACCAGCCCTGTGAATCCGATAGCTCTGACCAAAAAAAAAAAAAAAAAAAAAAAAAAAAAACACTCGGCAGTTCCAGGTTGGTTTTGGCTTCATTGAAATGTGCCATATATGACAGTGCTGGGAGATTGTGTCTACGAGAATTCAAGAGCTGGGAACGGGGGTCGCACTGCCTGGTAATGCCCGTTCCCCACTCTGTTCGCATATGGTCGTGGACCACCATCGCATGGTTCGTGGCCGTCAGGATTCGCATGGGCAAACTTCGAACCGCATGGGCAAACATTGAAATGTGTTTTTAATATCCCGAGCCGCATTGGCAAACTTCAGAACGCGGCCGGAATGTCACCACCCCCTCACCCCACTCCCTTCCCCCTCCTCCCCCCCCACCGACTGACCCCGATTCTTCCGCCCCCCGCCTTTCCCCCACACCCCCCATCGTCATCGTCACCTGCTTGATTCTCTGATTGCGTCACAAGATAATCTCAAGACCTGCTTGTCACGTGAACCTCAACAAGCATCTCCAACCAATCCTTCAAGAGAGCCCTGACAGTTGTCAGTATGATGAAGTGCTGCTGCCTTGCTCACTCCTTCGAAATCCGCCGATCCGATCTTGTATCTTTTCGGTGCGGCTCTTGAAAGCAATCCTGCTTATGCAGTGGCGCATACGGACTTCTCGCACATGGGGCTCTAGCTAATCTTGCTCATTCTGAGCTGCAACAGCTGTCATTTTCCGCGCAACAGGTCACCAAAGACGGTGACTACCTGGTCCCAATCTGGCAGAACAGATTTTTCTTCCTCTTTCGATTCGTAGTCCCTTCTAGACCATTAGAACGTGCCCAAAGTGTTCTAACAGCGGATGACAGCGGATAACAGAACGAGTCTCGTTTGTTGATTCTCGTACGGACGGATGACAACGGCTAGGATTCATTCTGTTACCGGATGCCAGCGGATGACAGAATTGCACTTTGGACACGCTCTTATATCCCTTGCATTTAGGACACCGCGCACCCGAATAGATTACCCCGTGACTCGAGTCGTGCCCGCAGCAGCGAGTGGGGTGGTGGAGAGAGTGAAAACGGAAGCGCCGGGGATTAGCGCAGTCTCCACGCTCTGATAACATGGGCCCTCTTTTAGGCTTGGGAGAGGGAAAAAAACTTATTCGTGGGAGGAGAAATCGCCGATTGCCCTGGGCTGGGAGGAGTAAATGAAGGGGGCACATCGAGCCAAAAAACTGTTGTGTCCCGCCTTACAGTGCACTGTAGGAGTGGTTGCGTTGCGTCGTTTTCCCGTCGCAGTTCCGATCGTTAACGATCCGTCGAAACGTTCTAGCGCCTCGAGAAAGAAAATCCAGACTGAGCAAGTGGGTGGCGAGAGACTTCGAGAGAAACTTCGCAGTGCTTGAGGGGAATGACGTAATGGGAATCCCTTGCCCAGCCCAAAGGACTGTTTCCGGGCGCTCGTTTTCTTTTTTAGCGTCACTATGACCGCTCAATGCTTGGAACAGCCGATATTTCCCACCAGCCGTAGTGTCAGCACGGTCATCGAGAGCCACACGTTTTTACATCGCCGCCCGGTTCGCACCGCGCCGCTCTTGCGAACTGGGCTGGCATTTTGGATCACAGTTCGTACTTCCACTCATTCTCACACCTCCAGCTCACAGACCACGCGCGATTCCGTCCCGCCCACAGCAGTCCGCTAATCGCGGCGAGTGGTCGAGCGCCCCTGGGTTCATTAATTTCAGGAGGGGAGAGGGGAGGAGGAATAGGAGGAGAGAAATTGTTCTGCGGTACTTTCTATCGAGGCAAGAAAGGCCACGAAGGCAACCGATTATTTTAGCATGACGTGGTCACCAGTCGTGCTCCTCGCGGGGTAGAAGCGGGAGCGGGAGCGGCAGGAGGGAAGGAAGGGTAGAAGACGCAGGGGTAAGGAGCGGACTGTGGCAGTGCATCTCTGTCACGTGCTTACCATCATTCGTGTAAAAATAGAGTGGATTCACGTGTTTCCCGCAAATGAGACGCGAATGGGACGAGCAAACCCTAGTCGCGCTGTCGTCCTCAGATGCGCGTCACGTGACGGAACTGACGACGCACAGGTGCTCAAATTATAATTCCGGTTCGATGGGATCCGTTGTTCGTTCGATTAAGACACGGTCGTGCCGTATCGCGACGTAGCGTGCCTGCAGGCTTGCCGCGAGAGACTCCGTCCCTCCCCCATTAGGGGATATCCAAGTAGAAGTGTCCCACACGGTGGTGTGGGACCATGAAACTACACTGTAGTGGCACTATCATGCTTCTACAGGGATTTCCAAAAATCGCTCTCCGCCTCTTCTGCTTCAAGGGCCTGTTCACCCCAGGGGTGCGTGCGGCCCTAGCCAAGCAGTAGGAGCCGAACGGAGATAGATGTAAGAGAGGCCGTTCCCATGTATTTTTCACCGATCTACCTCCAGTAAGGCTGTTCCGCAGAGCTGTGATAAGCCGTCGGACCTACTAGGTTCCCCACTGTCGCCTTAGTTGGCTCCCATTTGGTATGCCAGCACGAGCAAAGCTTTCCAGTGACCTTCGCGCCGAGCACTGGCGAAAGCAGACAGGGCTCCCTTCTTCCACCAACCTGCTGGGCCAAGAATGGACCTTCAAGGTCAGCTCGAGATTCTGGATCACGAAGCTGGTCCAGTGAGTCGCGTCGGGAAATTCATGGAGCGTCATGGAGAAATTCGACGCCATAGAGACGACCCCGTTGAAGCTAGCATGCACCCGCCTCACCCGCCAATGCTGCGCCATAAGCACGCGCTCCATCCACCCCGCTCAAGTGCCCCCTGCGCGGGGGGCAGTGATGGCGCCAGTGCGCCCTTTGTAGTAGTCCCCGCTTTGGAAAGAGCAGTTATGGAGCTCTTAGAGCAGCAGCAGCAGCAGCAGGGGCGGCGGCGGCAGCAGCACCACCACCATCAGCAACAGCAACAGCAACAGCAGCAGCTTCTGGATATTCCAGGGGCGCAGATCACTCAGCCAGCCATGGTCACAACGCACATTGGACCGGGTGCGGCTGGATTAATGAGCTGCGGTTATGCTAGTGCTAATGCTCTTGCTCATGACCGCTGGATAGTTAACCCGGACGCCATGGCTTTAAGCGACTCGTACCTCCTGTCCAGCCTACTGCTGCAGCAGCAGGAGGAGGCGCCTGGCGATTGGGATGAGCTCCCGTCTTGCGATACCCTCTCCCCAGCGGGAGTGGTGTTGCAGCAGCACACGGCACAGCAGCAGCAGCAGCAGCAAACGGCACAGCAGCATGCGGCAGTTTGGAGCTCAACCAGAGCACACAGCATGGTGGAATCTGGGGATGCTCTTGCTACCAGCACGGATGCCGCAGCAGCGCTGGTGCAGCAGCAGCAGCAGCAGGAGCAGTACTTGGCAGTTCGGACTATTGAAGGGGATGCAACAGCGGCGCTGGTGCAGCAGCAGCAAGTTGCAGTGGAAAACTGGGTGGCACAGGCTGAGCTGGCAGGGCTGACTCTGCCGCCCGACCTGATCCAACAATCGGCACACGCCGCCCTTTTTGCGCAGATGCAGATTCAGGAGCAAGCCGAGTGGCAGAACCAGAGTCCGCCCATTTCTGCGTGGTCGGAAAACCCCTGCTTGGCTTTTCGTCAGACAGAGGGGGCAATGCCGAATTCACGAGACGATGTCAACGTGCATGTTGCATCACCACCAGGCTCCCGCACCCTGGAGGACAGTCCACGCTGCGAGGTGAATGCATCCCAGGAGAACGCAACACTTCTAGCGTTCTCTGCGTCCCCTGGAGCTTCCTCCCCACATGCACAACCGGTCGCTCACTTTTCGCGTGCCACTCCTGGGACATCTTTCGCACCTGCCGCTCCTGGTGTTTGTGGAACGGGCAAGGGAGTCAATGGTTGGCCAATGCGAGAGCCTCCTGCCGCGTGTACGCCCCTGGTTAGGTTGGGGAAGGCGCCGCGGTGGTCGGAAGAGAGGGGAGTGAGGGAGGTGAAGAGGGAGGAGGAGGGTGGGGAGGACTGGAGGCCGCGCATTCGAACGCGATTGGATGGGCTGTCGGTGGGGCGGGGATGCATACAAGCCAGGAGCATGAAGGAGAGAAGACGGCGCGATAAGATCAGGTAAGTTGACTACAACCTTGCAAATTAACCACCCCCCCCACCCCCCTTTTCCCCTTTTCCGTTAACAGCTTTCCCGCCCATTGCTGTCCTGCCTCTGCCCCCTCCACTACTTGGATGAATAAGACTTATGTCATCTGAAAAAAATACTGAAATTGTGCTACTTTTTTACCCAATGCTTGTATTGGATGTGGCTTTATCAGGGAGGGACTGCAGCAGCTGCATCGAGCGTTACCACCGTTTCTCCTAAGAGCAAACCTAGATACAGCGTCAATGGTGGAAGCTGCACTTGCACACATAAAAGACCTGCAGGTACAGCCCAGACGTGGTCTTTTTGTCGTTGTTCTTGTTATGTTTTGTGGTTATTCTTATTTACCGCATCTCGGCGGAAGCCTGTTTCTCTGTGCCATTCCTGGTCGTGCATCCACTGTGTCTCAATGCCTCACATGCACTCTGTCTCTGTAGGCTCCGGATTCTGCAGGGCGGATGGATATGCTTTGCATTGTAAAAAGATTAACTTGCCTTTTCCAAACCTGTTCTGATGTCACATGCGCAGGTACGGATCAAAGCTCTGGAGAAACCAAAACCTCAAGATGGCTTGCAGTACAGCAAAACTCCATAGCCCTGTATTGTCCTTCCATAGCCTGTACAGTGCACGACAAAGCTTGCATCTGTAAGTCGTTCAAAATGGCAATCTCTGTGCTGTACAATTATTTGAGAGTTAAGGTGTGAAAGCTCACCATCTTGAAGTGCTCTCTTTTGTGCCTGTGGCTGTTCTTATGTAGCTTTTTGTGTGGGATGTGACACCCTAGTCCACCTACACACTGCCAGGGCTCAAATTTGAAGGGTGTTTCACCCTGATTACCCTTGCCAACGGCCACTTTTTCAGGATTACCCTGATTTTGTAAGGCCAAAGTTTCTGACCCTTTCTCAAAAAGTGTAAGGAATATTTTACCCTTTTGTAGTAAGAGTGTTCGTCTTATTACCCTGACCAGTCAGGGTGCGCCAAAAAACACCCTGAAACAGATTACTCCCAACCCTCGAATCTGCCACGCAGGCAGGCAGCCCCTGTTAAATTGTATATTTGATATACTATATAATGGTAGGTTTGGTAGGTGTTACTGGATCCTACTGTAGAGGGTACTGTCAAACATATCTTTGTCTGTTGTTATAGACTATACAAGGTTGTGCCTTAGGGAGTACAACCCACTAGGTTATATTCCCTTGTACGTCATTGTCCTAGTCATTCGTTAACTTTGATATGGTATCATGAGTAGGTTAGGTCCCCCCCGCTCACCGGCGCTTCCGCCATAGGTCCTAGCCGCCCCGTCGCCCTCCCGCCCGTGCGACGGCCCCGTAGCCCAGCCGGCCCCGTCGCCTAAGCCGGCCCCGTTGCCTAGCCGGCCCCATCGCCTAGCCGGCCCCGTCGCCCTGCTGGCCCCGTCGCCTAGCCGGCCCCGTCGCCTAGCCGACCCCGTCGCCCAGCCGGCCCCGTCGCCTAGCCGGCCCTGTTGCCTAGTCGGCCCCGTCGCCCAGCCGGCCCCGTCGCCTAGCTGGCCCCGTCGCCCAGCCGGCCCCGTCGCCTAGCCGGCCCCGTCGCCCAGCCGGCCCCGTTGCCTAGCCGGCCCTGTTGCCTAGTCGGCCCTGTCGCCCAGCCGGCCCCGTCGCCTAGCTGACCCCGTCACCCAGCTGGCCCCGTCGCCTAGTCGGCCCCGTCGCCTAGCCAGCCCCGTCGCCCAGCCGGCCTCGCAGCCTAGCCGGCCCCGTCATCTAGCCGCCTAGCCGGCCCCGTCGCCTCGCCGCCCGCGGCCCCGTCTCCCCGCCGCCACTCGGCCCCTGTTGACCAGCCACCCCACGACCTACCCCACCTAGCTTCATCGTCCCCTCTCCACCACACTCCACCGCCCTGCACTGCACTGCACCGCCCTGCACCGCACTCCACCGCACTGTACTGCACCTCACTCTACCGTAGTCTACCGCACTGCACCGCACCGCACCATACACCACTGCTTCCCGCCGCACTCTGTCGCTCAATACAGCACCACTACCGCCTTTCTGCTGCTACAGCAACCATGATGGCGGACTTGGTGCTGCGCTTAGCTGCGGAGGGTCAGCCGGTTGAGTTCGACACGTGGCTCATCGACCTCCGCCGTCACCTCACCGGTCAGCGGCAGGACGGCCACTCCCTGGCCGTCCACATTGACGGTACGCTCCCCTGCCCTGACCCCCCAGCTGCTCTACCCGCTGACCCCACGTCTGCTGACCGTGAGTCCGCTGCCACTGCTGCCGTTGCCCGTGCTGTCTGGTTGTCGCGTGACGCTGTCGCACAGCGCGATTAGTCATGCCCTCTCCCTGTCTGAGCGCCCCCATTTTAGGTCAGTCAAGACTGCGCAAGAGTTCCTTGAGGCTGTTGTCGCGCGCTATTCCATTCCGCCCTTTGCCTCCGTCGGTCGTCTGATCCTGCCCATGCTCTTTCCTGATCTCGCGTCTTTCCCCACTGTCGCTGACCTGGCAGCCCACTTGCGCACGCTAGACGCGACCTGGCGCGCTGCCTACACAGAGGCTCAGCTTCGTGTGTTTCAGCCCCCCATCTGCTCTACCCTCTACCTGCTTGCCACCCGCCTCCCTGACCATCTTGCCACCGCCCGCGATCACTTCCTTAGTCTCCACCCCGCTGACCTCACCCTCATTGACTTTGTCGACACCCTGTCTGCCATAGAGACTTGTCAGCGCTCTATCGCCCAGTCTAGCGGTACTGTGTCGGACACTATCTTTCAAGGTTGTGCCCCCGCTCAGTGCTCTTACTCTGACGGTTCTACTGCTGTCGCTGAGACAGCCCCTGCTGCGGAGATAGGTGTCGCGGCTGCCACAGCGCAATTCCGTCCGGGTAAGGGTCGCCGCCCCAAGGCTGGGCACGGCAGAGGTAGCGGAGGAGGGGGTGGAGGTGGTGGTGGAGGTGGTTCGCCCGCTGGTAGTACTGATGAGGGGGCTGGGGCTGGTGCCTCGGAGTAGCAGCAGCAGCAGGCACCGAAGTTGGACCAGCAGTAGCACCAACACCAGCAGCCACAGCAGCAGCAGCAGCAGCAGCGGCGGATCGGTCGTCTCCCGCCCGGGTGGCCTGGCGCCAGTGGTGGAGATGGCCGCAGTGGTCGTGCGTGCAACGTGTCGTCAGGTGGTGGTCCGAGTGACGGGCGCTGCCAGTATCAGCTCCAGACCGGTCCTCGCCGCGGCCTCGTGTGTGGTAAGACCGGCCATACCCCCACACGGTGTTTTAGTCGCCTAGACGACATGTTTCGTCTCCGCTTCGGCCCGACGCCAGACCTCCCCGACTGGCACAGTCAGCTCCGTCGTGGTGTTAGGATCTTTGATATGGACATGGATGAGATTAGCTCTGCTTTGTATGTGCTGTATATCGATGACTCTAGTGTGGTTGGTTTCTATTACCCCGTGTTGCCTAGTGTAGGTGTGTCCAGTGTGCCTAGTGTATGCTCCCCTGCTGCGTCAGGCGTAGGATCCCCTGCTTTGTAAAAGCCTTGGCTCCACCCTCGCTCCTCCAACCCCTGCCGCCACAGCCGCGCTCTCCTTCACCCTGGACTCCGGCGCTTCCTGGTGTTCCTTTCGCGACTCCACTACGCTTATGCCGCTTGCCGCTCCCGCCGCAGTTGCCCTTGCAGACCCCTCCTCAGGTCCTGTAGTTGCCCATAGCTGCACCACATTTCCGTGTCCGGCGGTTCCATCGGGCTCTGACTTCCTCCGTGTTGCGCGTCCCCTTGTTCCTTGTGTCCTTGCCTCTCTAGTTACCGACCCGTCCGTTCCTGTCCCGAGTCTGTCGGCTCTTGTCGCTTTTGTCACTGACTTCACCGCTACCCGCGCCTTGAATACGCCACCGCTCTGGTCTCTGACCCTTCCTGCCCTCCGGCCGTCAGGGGTGTGGCTGTCCTTGGTAGTGACGTCCTAGAGGACATGCAGTACGAGGTCGCTTTCCTCTCTGAGGCCGCTCCCCATCTCTGTTCCATGCTACTAGTCCCTGAGGGTGACCCAGACGCCCTTGACATCCCGACCCCTCGCACCTACGCTGAGGCCACCTTGGGACCCTGGGCCTCTCAGTGGATAGCTGCCATGGAGCAGGAGATGGCATCTTGGAGATCCGCCGGTACCTTCGTCGACGAAGTTCCCCCACATGGGGTGAACGTAGTCGATGGCCAAGGTGAAGCGCCCTCCTGGAGAGCCACATATCTTCAAGGCGCGCTACGTTGCTCAAGGCTTCAGTCAACGTGAGGGGGTGGACTTCTTTCAGACTTTTGCCCTGACCCCAAAGATGACTACTCTTCGGGCACTACTACACGTAGCAGCACAGCGTGACTACGAGCTGCACTCACTCGACTTCTCCACAGCTTTCCTCCAGTGCAGTCTACACGAGCAGGTCTACCTGCGCTGCCCCCAGGGCTTCTTCGGTACCTTTCCCCCTGGTACCGAGTGGCTCCTCTGGCGCCCCGTCTACGGCTTGCGACAGGCGCCCCGTGAGTGGCACGACACGCTGCGTGCTACACTTGCTAACCTGCAGTTCGTCCCTTCGTCTGCAGACCCCTCGCTCTTCGTCCGTTTCGGCCAGACTCCGTTCTACATCCTTGTCTACGTAGATGACCTGGTCTTTGCTACTGCAGAAAGAGACGCGCTGGCCTCCGTGAAGGCCGAGCTACTGAGGAGACACACCTGCACTGACCTATGAGAGCTGTGCCACTACCTTGGCTTGCAGATCTCCAGGGACAGAGCACCGCGTACCATCACTCACTCGCAGTCACACTTGGTGCGCCAGGTCCTTCAGAGGTTCGGCCTTCAGTTCTCTTCTGCACAGCCCACCCCTCTGCTAGTAGACCACAGACTCTCTGCTCCAGTTCCGGAGGAGGCTGCACAGCCTAGTGGTCCCTACGCAGAGCTGGTGGGTAGCCTCATGTGCCTGATGACTTGCACTTGTCCAGATCTCGCATACCCTCTCAGCATCCTGGCTTGCTTTGTGGCCACCGGCAGACACCGACCACAGCATTGGTCGGCAGCTGAGAGGGTTTTGGGGTATCTAGCAAGTACATCGGGCATGGGGCTAGTGCTAGGAGGACGTAGACCAGTGGTCCTTACCGGGCAGACGACGCCAAGACTCTCAGGTCCTCCCAAGGCTACTGCTTTAGCCTTGGTACAGGTGCCATCTCGTGGAGGTCCACTCGCTTGTTGTCTGTTGCCCCGTCTAGCTGTGAGGCTGAGATCTACGCTGGTGCCATGGCGGCACAGGAGCTCCGCTGGCTGACCTTCTTGCTCACTGACCTAGGTGAGTGGCCTAGCTCTGCCCTAGTTCTGTACGCTGACAACATGGCCATGATCCTCCTATGTCAAGAGCCTAGACTCGAGGGCAGAGCGAAGCACATCCAACTGCGGTATTTCCTCCTGCGCGAGCTACAGCAGTGTCGCAAGGCCTGCGTAGTACACTTGGCCTCCGATGCCAACACACCTGATATCTTTACGAAGGCGCTTGCGCCTAAAGATCATCAGCGGCAATATGTACAACTAGGTCTCGTTCTTGTAGCCTCTCACTTGCTAGGACCTTGATTGTGTACAGAGCTTTATATATATTACCGTGACTCGCCTTGTGGCTTCGTCCCAGTGGCTGGACTAGTAGTGTCACCCTGGTCTTGCTCTTGCCTTGTTTGTACTCATTTGACTGGTCTTTCGATCCTTGCCTCAGAGGCTGGACTAGTAGTGCCACCCTGCGCTGCTTGTCTCTCACCAAGCACTGCCCCTATCTAGCCTAGGGGGTGTGTCAAACATATCTTTGTAGGTGGTTATAGACTATACAGGGTTGTACCTTAGGGAGTACAACCCACTAGGTTATATTCCCTTGTACGTCATTGTTCTAGTCATTCGTTAACTTTGATAGGTACAACCCCCCCTTCTTGTATCCCTCTCTCTTCTTTTCAATCCTCCTTTTCTCTTGAATTTTTTTCTCCTTCCTAAACCTCGCGTCATTCCATGGCTTCT